ATTGGTCTCTCTTAAGATATCCAAGGAAAGCCCTGACTTAGTGGGTATTTGGTAACTGATATTTGGACATATCAGCTATTGGCAGTAGAGTAGGTTCATGTAGCATAAGCTTGATATTGGTGGTTTCAGACAATGAATTAAAATTATTCTATGTGTGGCTGCCATAAATTGAATTGAAGCACTCTAGCTCCAACTGATGCGCTCCAGCTTTGTCTCTAGACCCGGGCAGTCTATTCAGGAACCAGAATACTTCTTCCCAAGGACAATGTCTGGAGCCATGTCTTCCTTACTACTCCATTGCAGTTTTAGGTTGATTTCTAAGAAGAAAATCTATATTTATCTTCCCTATTTTTCTTTTCAAAATGCCATCTTACTTAAGATTTGATCTTAATATTTGAAATATATCTTCTTCATCTGTTCTTCAGATTTAAAAAGAAACAGAATCACAAAGAGTTTATAATGTAAAAATTAATCATTCAGTATTGTAAGTTTCTATTTTGTCAAGTCATACTACCTTTTCAAAATGATAACTGAATATTTTAATCTTTTACCTCCAGTTACACAGAATTATCTTCCTAGTAAATCTGTGTCATTTTACATAGCAATTTTATTTTTATTCATTCAATAAGTGTTTTTAGTGCCTACCCTGTTTTAGACTCTGTGATGGAAGGTGGTAATAAAGGGAGAAAAGCTGGAACATGGGTAATATGGATTTTTGCCTGCTTTAAATGAGTACAGAGATGGCAATATTTCTTTGCAAGGTCAGATTGCCCAAAGTAAAACTGATATTTGACTAATAATTATTTCAGTGAGTTATAACTTTGGATGAGACTAGGGCCAAGGGAAGTAGTTCATTATCATTTATTAACAGTTAATCATTTTAAGATTATGGAATATGTTCAAATATAGGATACTTTAAAGCACCCATCTACTCACTACCCAATTTTAATGTTAAAAATCTTTACCATATATGCTTCATTAAAAAATATTTATATATACATGTGTAACACGTGTATATATGTAACATTTCTTATATGACCAACCAGTTAGTCCAGTACCATTAATCTTCCCCATTATCACTTATTTATGAAATAATTTTCATCATACACTAACATCCCATGTTTAAGAAAGTCTTTTTACTTTCTCTTTACGTAATCGCTCTGTTTGTATGTACCTACACAGCTATACCATTATTTTACTAAAGCTTTAATAGCTGGTAAAATAAGTTTTCTTTTTCAAAGCTGACTTTTCTTTCCTTGGCCCTTTATGGAGTCATTTAATATATGTTTGTCAAGTTTCACACACAAAATAAATCTTTGGTATTTGCATTGACAGTGCTTTATATCTATTTGTTGAGTATGTAATAATTCCCATCATCATACTGGGTCATCCATATAAATAAAGAAGGTATTTTTTATCCTTCAACAAACTATAGTTTTCTCCATAAGGGTCTTCGAAATAGTCTGTTGGATTTATTTTTTGAAGGATCACTTGATATTTTATTGCAATTATAAATGGAATTTTTCCATTTTAATTATGTCTTATAATTTCATATTGCTGGCATTAAGTATGTCATTTTTGTATATTGATCTTGTATCCAACAACCTTCCTGAAACTTGCCTATTTTCATGATTTATAGATTTTTCTCTTGGATTTTTAATGTAGACAGTCTTTAATCTGTAGAATATGAAATTTTTGTTTCAATTATTTCTTGTTTTGTTTTACTTGTTTTATAGCACTTTCTGTATCTGTAGTACATCATTAAACAAAGATGCTGTTGGAGGACTTCTGTAGCTGGGAATATTTCTGGGGAGGAATTTCATCAAGTCTTGATTCTCATTTACTGTTTCTTCTCATAGCAATTTTGCCCCTTTTTGTTCATTTGAATTATGTTGGATTTCCCCACACTAGGAACAATCATTCAAAGGAGGGGGCAATGAGAAGTTTGGGAAGTTTCCTCATTATTTTAGTTCAAGAGTGCCCTCTTCTGTTGGAACAATGAAGTTAATTTTATTTCATGAAAGCAGACTTTTTTGGAATGGTGCTAACTTTGCATTTTAGTTTTACAGACCTTAATTTCTGGGATCTAAAAAATTCGATGCAGTAGGGAGGAAGGAAAGAGATATGAGGCTAGTAAAACTGAAAGTATGCTTATTTGTGTGCTCCAAGGTGAGCTTCACTGGCCCCAGAGAGATCTGAGATCAGAGAAGTCTGCTGAAGGAGGGGTAAGAGAGGTGGACAAAGGGTTAAAGAACCGCATTTTGAAGCTCTTGGAAGCCACTGCAACAGGAGTTTGATAAAGGCCAGGGAGCTGACCCACAAGGTCTGGCAGACCCCTTCTGACCCACCCACTGCACCCCTAAACAGTGTACTCTGTCAGTCTGTCTGTTCTGCTCCCTACTCTGTCTCTGGTGAATCCTCTCACCCACCACATCTCTTTTGTGTACCCCAGTTCTGTAAGTATAAATAATTTTTTTTTAAAAAGAGGGGTTTTTATAGGTCTAGGTATGGGGAAGAATGGCCAGGTGGAAAATATTGACAAGGAATTGAAACTTATTTTTCTGCGGCTTGTGTTAACATTGGTGACAAGCAAGGTGGTAGCAAACAAACAAATCACTCCTGGATATCTGTTTTTGCTTGGAGCAACTGCTCCTTTCATATGTCTTATGTTTGGCTGGTGCCTGACCCTTTCAGGCTTATTTTCTTAATTGTTTCATATTTTTGCTGGTTGTCCTGCCTCACACCAGAAGTAATGCCTTCCTTAGACTGCTTTTCTGGTCGTATATACTTTCCAAGCCCCTTTCTTCAAAAACCAGTATTTAGATCCTTAGGCCTATTGTCAGTATCTTTCCACCAGGATAGGATGATCTCTTCTGGGGAAAATGTCCTTTGTGTTCTGTCCCCACAGGGACTTGCCATTTTCTCCTCTCTTCAATGTAATCCCCATTTGATTTTGTTCCAGCACAGTTCTGGTTCTAGCTGTATGATTTTGAGTTATTCTCCTATTAACATATAAACAAAGTTTATAGTATTTTTGGTCTTCTATGCTGAAGCAATTACATGATTTTATTTGCTTTACTGTTGATCTCAGTGGTTTTGGAGAATATATGTAGATTTTGGATATTAGAAACCAAAACTCTAGAAATGTGTTATAATCTCACTCCATGTTCAGTTGTTCTCTTACCTTTGTGATTCCATTATGTGTGTGCATGTGTTTGCCTTACATATTCTATATGTTGTTAGTTTAGGTTTACTGATTTAAATTTATTATGGGTTTATAGATTTAAGATTGTTTTATTTACTGGTGATATTTTCCTTTAGTCAATAGATAATGATCTTTATAACTAATATTTTTATTGCAAGGTTATTGGAAATAATATAATAACAGTTAATAATAATAATAACTAACTTGCTTTGGATTAATATTTGCTAGATATACCCTTTGATATCCTTTTATATTTTATCTAAACTATAACAGCTTATAGTGGAACTATACAATTTGCTGTTCAGCTTCAATTTGAGAAAAATACTTTCCTGATGTGTTTAACTCTTTCACTTTCACTGTGATCACAAAAAACCTGTTTATTTTTGTGATTTTTATTTGATTTATGCACAGAAATTATTTTCCTTTCTCCCTATTAGTCTCCTTTCCTGCTTTCTAGTAGATTTTTAAAAACATCATTTGATAGTTTGAAAGCAGCAAGTTTTACTTCCAATTTTTATTTTTTCAATTCTGTTAGTACTCAAACTTTAGTGTGCATTGGAATCTTCTGGAGCACTTGTTAAAACACAGATAGATGACCACTCTTCCCCCCCACCAGAGTTTCTAATTCAGTAGTTCTGGTTTGGGACTCAAGAATTTCCATTTCTAAAATATTCGGAGGTGATGCTGATGCTGCTACTTTGGAAACTACAAAAGACCATCAGGAGTTGGTGGCTATCACCAGGAAAATATTAGCACTTGTACCCAATACCATTCTGAGTTGAAGTTTCTTTTGGAATTCCTTTACTTGTTGACTTCACTTTCTTTTGTCTTGCCCAGTAATTCATTAAAACATTTTACTTGATGTTTTTTGATTTGCAGTACACAGAGGAATTTCTTATACCATATAGTTCCATAAAAATAAGTTCCAGGAATAGAGGCCCTCCCTGGTGGCACAGTGGGTTAAAGCACAGCATTAAGAAGCTAAAACCACTTAAACATGAGTTCCATCCCAGCCCCAGAGGTGATCCACGTGGCGTGGCAGACCTTTCCTGATCTGCCCACTGCTCTCCTCAGCAGTGTACTTCGTCAGTCCACCAGTTCTGTTCCCCACTCTGTCTTTGGTGGATCCTCACACTGCCCCAGCATCTCTGGCCTGTACCCCAGTTCTATATGCATAAATAAATAAATCTTTTTTTAAAAAAAAAAATGCTAGGAATCAAAATAGAGGTTTAATATCTTGTATGCGAATATTTTTTTTCTCACCCTGACACCAAAACAGAGCAATATTTGCCAGGACTAGTGATGAGTTTTTATGATCTCTTTTATATGGAGGTATAGCTTGTATAGAATCATAGCTGTTAAAAAGAGTTTTGCTCTCTCACTCAAGTGAACATGAGGCAATTTCTCTTGCCCTTGCTAGGCTGTTCAAGCTGCAGCGCCTGAACTTGGAACATCAGATTATGTCATTTTCTTTTCTGTCCCTTCATGATTTCCCTTTAGAGCTTGAATATATTGTTAATTTGGGGAGGCAAGAAATATTCCACCCAGCATTTCTGTGTGCTTAACGAGGTGGAGTTTGGGGAGACTGTGTAATCCCAGTCCATCCGTTTGTCTTTGGTTATCTTTCTGTTACTATCTAACAGAGAATCTGGAGCACAGGGTCAGGAGAATTGAAAAGCAAGAAGTGAGTTGTAAAAAGAATCCCAGAATCTGGAATGTACATGTATATATATCACTAAAATTTTAAAATGTCTTTTAGTTGTTCTTTTCTTAAATATTGACTTATTCATCATAGGTGTGCATTGACAACATATGCTGAAGACTATGCTCCACCATATGATTATCAACCACATGTGAGTAAAAGAAAGCTGAAAAACCTCATTCCAATATTTATTTATGTCCTTAAAATGATTTTTACCTCTAATATAACTAGTCAAGCTTGGAAAAAAGGAGAAATTGCTGAGATCTATGATACTGCATATTTTTTGAATATTAATTATTTATGACTGTCAATGGAATGTTTCGTAGTCATGACTCATTTTAGAAAATTTATAGATTTCAGGGAGAAAAATATTACAGTGTCCAAAATATGTTACTTTTTTCCTCATCTTGTGTGATTGTCCCCTCCCTGAATTCATTTTATCTGGAATAAGAACCTACCTTTCTACTCATTTACACTGCATCAAAACATAAAAGTAAGTGGCTTGAATTATCTCTGAGAAATGTATATATTGATGAAAATATATCCAGTTTATAATTTCAATATATTTATACTTAAAAATATGCAACAGAAGCCAAACAAGGCTGCTTCCTATCAGCCTTGATCTGAAAGTCTTAACTAGCAAAATAGGTGAGATTTCTTTCACTATTGAATATGGGGAGAAAAAAACTCATCTTTACTTTCACATAGTATAGTTAGCTTCTTACTACACTGAAAAGTAATTAGAATAAATAATGCTGTTAAGAAGGTGACTGAATACCCAATAAATATGTCAAAGACAATATCTTCTCATCATATTAGCACTTATAGGTTAGTAAACCATGCAAGAAAAACATACAAATTTCTTAAAACAAGTAACACTGAAAATATTTTTGTGAGGAAATTTCTACCAGGATCAGTAAAGAAGAAAGTTGTTTCTTTGAACAAATTCTTTGCATAGTCTACTTCCAGGCAAGAGATAAATGCCCCTCTGCTTTTCGGAATAATAAAACATGGCAAAAGTGATGTTGTGAGTTTTAGGCCTACCTTTTAAGAAGACAGTTTCCAACTCTTGGAGCCCTGTGCCACCATAGGAAAACCGATCAATTTTACTGGAGGAAATGGACATGAGGAGGAACTCTGACAGGCTTGCCTTAGGGCGAGGGAGCTATCTTGGACATCCATACTCCTTGACCTGAATTCCGTGTTCAGTTGCCATCTAACAGCAATTCAGCAGACCAACAAGAAGATAATAGTAATCACTTTTATAGCCATTAGTTAAAAAAAAAAAAACTCAAAGATAACAGAACCAAAAATATCAAGTAAAAGGGGACAAATATTTTATAGAATTGGAAAATTAAACTATTTATAAATTACATTTATAAATAATACAAGTATAATAAAATCCCAGTAGGTTTTTTTTTTCTATCAGAACTCTGAGAATTATTTGAAAGAACACACAGATAAGAATAATTAGAACTATTTTGAAGTGGTTTAGCTATTTTAATAAAGTAATCACTATCTTTATGATATGTTAAATTCTTTTTTTCTTATTAAAAGTAGCATTCAAATCTTAGAAAAAAAGGATATATGATAGTTTATGAGCCAACATGCCTAATATATAAGGAAAAGTGTTGAGACCCAGTGAGTAAGTGAAAGACATAGGTACACAATTTACAAAGTAGGAAATATAATTAGCCTGTTGGTAAAGATAGGGAGAATCCCCGCTTAACAAATAATAAAAGACATGAATTAAAATGAATAAAAAGTTTTGCTAACAAAATTGTCAGTATTAAAAATAATAATATTCAGTGGGATAAAGATGGGGTGAGATTGCTACTTTTATCTGTTGTCAGACAGATTATAAATTGCTTTAGTCTTTCAGCAAGGGAATGTAGCAATATGTATAAAGATACTATTTGACCTAATAGTTTGCCTTCTGAGAAATTTCTCCAAAGAAAAATAATTCAAAATAAGGATAAAATTTATATTGAAAGGAAAAAATTAAATAACTTATAACTCAATTATTTATAGTGGCAAAACTTGGAAAGTAGTTAATGCTTCAATATTAGGGGTAGCACTAATTAAATATATTAAAATCATATGAATATTTTATGTAAATCATGTAAAATATAGAGGAGAAAAACTAAAAAACTATCAAAATACTAGTAAAATTGGTCATTAAATGGTGGAATTCTAGGTGATTTTCTTCACCTTTACTCTTTTTTATAACTTTCTGATGCAATAAGCATAACAATTAGAAACAAACACACTATTTTAAAATGAGATTCAGTATCATTTCCTATGTTCTTGGGATTTGGCACTATCTCTGAAATAAAGTATAGTTGCAAGACATGTAATTAAAAATTCACAAAATTCATGGCCCTCCCTGGTGGCGCAGCGGGTTAAAGCACTGCACTGAGAATCTAAAGCCGCTTCCACATGAGTTCGATTCCCGCCTGCCCCGGAGGTGACCACATGGCGAGGCAGACCTCTCCTGACCCGCCCGCTGCTCCCCTCAGCAGTGTACTTCGTCGATCTGCCTGTTCTGCTCCCTGCTCTGTCTCTGGTGAATCCTCTCACCCTCCGCATCTCTGGCCTGTACCCCAGTTCTGTACGAATAAATAAATAAATCTTTAAAAAAAAAAATTCACAAAATTCAAAAGATTGATTTTCCCACAAGCATAAATATAAATAATGTGAAATGTATTCTCAGGGCACATAAATCTTTAGCTGTTGTGTTATATACTCATAATTTTAATTTTTTAGCATTATTTCTAACATTTTTCATGTTTCTTATTTCCATATTAACAGTGTAACATGTCCTAGAAGTTGCTTGGTTTTATTTAGAGTTTTGTTCATTCACTTCTAACTTCCATGCACAAATAATTGATTTTTGAGGCATGATTTCTAGCATTGCTTTCTGCACTCCCATTTAATAAATGCTTGCATTATATTGTTATAAGATGCATAAATATTTTAAATTAATAGTGGATGGTTAAATAACAGCAATTAGTGACTGAACTCTGACATAGAAGTCACTGTTCATACAAAATGTATGATTCATGAAATTCTGATGAATAAAGAATGTTTTACTTGATTGAAACTTCACCATTTGGCATTAGCATAAACACAATTCATCATTCACTCTGGCTAGCATCTTTGCAATTATACAATTCTTGTGGAAATCTTAAAATATTTAGTTATGTATTTCAAATTGTGTGCATGAATTGTGAGTTTATTTTTACATTGTGGTCTTTTATATTTTCTTAATTCATATTTGCATAGAGTGAAATGGCATTATAGGAACTCTAAATGGAATACAAGTTATCACCCCATAGCTCTAATCATAAATAAGGTGATGTAAAATAGTAGGATACTATGAAATAATTTCCAAGGAGATAAATGGAAGATAATGTGAGAGCAACACCTCTATGGCTTATCCCAATTTCAGTGGAAAATATCTTCTTTTAAAACCTTCCCTACCCTTCTTGTAAAGAACCAAGATAAAAGAAAAGTTAAAGAAATGGCACATTAGAGGATTCTCCCAAGGGAGAATTTGTAGGGGAGGTGAATCTTTAGACAGGAGCATAATGGTGGAGAGTCAATTGAACACACTCAGGATAAGTAAAGAAAACAAGTAGCTCAGGATGGGACTAGCAAACTCAGGACGTTGAAGGATCAAAAAATATTGAGGAAAAGAATAAGTATGGTATATAGGAGTTTAGGAGTGAAAGAAAGTAGAGATAATGAGCAAAGGGAATGTATTGGAAGTTATTAGAATTTCACAAGTAGGACAGTTTTTTAAAAAGATTTATTTATTTATGCACACAGAACTGGGGTACAGGCCAGAGGTGCAGGGCAGTGAGAGGATTCACCAGAAAACTGTGGGAAGCAGAACAGGCAGATCAAAGTACACTGCTGAGGGGAGCCGTGGATAGATGAGCCAGGCGAGGTCTGCTGTGCCACGTGGATCACCTCTGGGGCTGGGGATCGAACTTGCACTGAAGCAGCTGCATATGGCTTGCAGTGCTGCTTCCTAACCCGTTGCGCCATCAGGGAGGGTCCAGAAGTAGAACAATTCTAGGGAATTATAGAGTCCAAGGAAATGGGAATGAGTTTCTATGCTGGATTTGAAGCAACTGACTTCAGAAAGCAAAAAACTGGTAAGCAGGAAGATTGGGTAGATTCTAAGTATGGGTGTGGAAATCTTCCTACACAACAGCAAAAAGGGTGGGGTCAGATGACTCAGCCCTCAATGAACTTTGGGCGTGCACTGTGGAGGTTAAATGGTGCCTTCAGCCATGCAGTTGCCATTTGGGTATATATGACTGATCAGTATCAGCTGTGATGTATGTACCATTTGTATTACTTCATAGAGCAGTCCATTGAATTCTTTCCAAGCATATGATTGCCTATAAGCCAAAAAAATCTTGCATATCCTTTTTTACCTAGGTATAGAAAGTTGAAGAAATTTTTAATAGAGAACTGTTTCATAATTGACAGGTATTCCAAGTTGGCCACAAAGATTTCAAAGACAGTATTTTGTAGTAGGTAAGAAAAGAGGTTGTATTTGTTTAACAGTTATTTCCAACAATGGCAGGATTAATCCTTCCTATCACTGGAACTCTCTGCACTGGCAACATATAGCATTGTAGCATATTGCTATTTCTATACTGACTAGAAGTTAGCTGTGAGTTTGAGCCCTCGTGGAGCCAAGCCTCCTGAGCAACCTCATTTCCTCCCCTGACTTCTTGAACCCATTACTGCATGACGACTTTCCTGGCCTAAATACTTTTGCTGTCATGGGCTCCTTCTTCCAATAAAAACAATGTTAAACTATATCACTGTACTGGCTTTTTTTGTACTTCTTAATAGGCTATTACAGTTAAACATTTTGGCTATACTTTACAGGTTTTTATGAGCCTTTTAGACAAGGAAGGAAATACAGACAGAAATAAGACAGATATAACCCAAGTTGGATTATGTTATTTTTTCCTGAATATAAAAGCTTATTAAAGAAATATATTTCTAAGATGATATTCTTATTGATATTTTGTAAATGCTACACCTCTTTTCTTCTTTATTTTATACTATGTCCTTGCCAAATTGGGATTTGCTTATTTTATTTTATGACTATGTTATATAACTCTG